GTGAAATTTCTTGAAATGCATTTTGGAATGGTGGTGATGGAAAACTATGTGGGGTTTTGTGTTGTTTTGGGATAATGTGAGTTTTTATGTAGTGTTATTGATTTATTATACATATAGTAGGTGTCTCTGTTTGTCCATTTGAATGTAAAGATTGGATCATTAAGAGTTGAGTTTTAATGACTAGGACCTAACATTCACTTTGCCAACATGCAGGATTGTTGATCTCTGTACTCATATTTTTGAACCTCACAAGAAAAACTTGTTTTTGCAAAGTTTATACAAAGAGGAGCAGGAGAAATCACATATGACAAATGGTAACAACAGCGAGAAACATGTTTTCATAGTGACATTCAAGATAAAGATATAGTTAAAGCTCTAGAAAATGAGGTTCAATATTAGACAGACTTTTCAAAAGTTCGCTGTCTTCTCCAGAGTCAATACGAATATAATGGTTTTCGTACGATTTTCTGTTTTGTATGGAATTATTATTTTATATTAGAATATACGTAGTTTGTATGAAATTTGACATTAAAAGTTATTCTTTTTTGGATGGTTAGAAGTAAAATGGATGTAAATTGCGAAATGATTGATAATATATGTATTGTTTTGTTTATATACATGGTATAGGTTACACGAAATACATACAAGTTATGGACAAATTAAAAAAAAAAAATTCATGTATTTGGCCACTAAATAATCGGTAGCCAAAAAAGCAGTAAATATTTTTAGCGACTAAATAGTTAGTAGCTAAAAATAAATAAAATGAAAAAAAAAACTTTTGACGACTAAAATTTTAGTAGCCAAATAAAAAAATAGACTTTAGGTGTAGCGATTTCAGTTTCGATCATTCTTTCATGTTTTGCCACTTCGACTGAGCCGGTTGAGGATCAAGCTGCTTGGTTAGCTCGCGGGGGTCCAGGGGGCAGAACCCCTTGGCGGGTCCGAGGGCAGTGCCCTGACAAGGTCGAGGGGCAGCGCCCCCGAAGTAAAAATGCAAAATGCATTCAAAGTTGCTTGTCCGCTCAAGCGGCCGTTTATGCGCTCAAGCGGAGAATGTTTGGTTTTAGAAGTTTGAACTGTCTGCAAAAGTACTAGGTTAGTGTATTTGACGCTCGAGCGGGGCTTTCCTCGCTCGAGCGGACTATGTTATATTAGTTCGTAAATCTGATATTTCAGATCACTTTTTCAGTCATCTTTCTCTAAAACTCTCCAGAATTCCAGATCGGGAGCTTCTCTCTTTATAATTCATCTTCTCTATTTGATTTCTCCAAATCCATTGGGATTTAGACCTAAGTTCTTCACCAAAGTTAGTTATCATCTCAAGGGCTTCGTTGTGTGCGGTGAAGATCGAGTTTCGACACCGTTGATTTTGGGGGTTTTATCTCATTTCTTCTTCAAAACTTGAGGTAGGGATTTTCTTAGAGTTAAATATATGTTTTTGCAAGATCTATGTGATTTTCGAAATCATCTTTTGATAGCTTTGAAAATTAATTGTTGATTCAAGAAGTTGAGCGATTTTGAAAGTGGGTTTGTCTCTTGTTTTTTTAAAATGATCTTATAGATTTTGATCTTCATTGATTGAAGAAAAGATGATTTTGAAAAGTTTTCTTTTAAAAGATTTGAGTTGTATAGTTTTGGTGAGAAAACTTAGAATTTGGGGATTTGTTTTTTTAGAGACTGAAAATCTATGAATGATATTGTTATATTTATTTTGTGTGTCAAAATAAATGGATCTTTGAAAAATTTCTTATTTATATTTATATAAATGATGAATTTTAGGGAATATGAAAATTATTGTTCATTTTAGAAATTATTGTTCAAAACGTTGAAATAGTCTTGAAATGACTAATTGTTGAGGATACTTGAGAAGATGAAATTGTGTTATTCCTTGGATGATGAATTGAAATAAAAGTATTTATATTCATTTTGTATTATTGGCATAACAATTTATTTGATTACATTAAATTTTGAAAGTTGATTTGAAAACTTGAATTGAGAAAAGAATGTTGAGAAACAAGTTTTCATGAAATGGTTTTGGGGTAAATACGTTGGTAAGTCTTGATAGGTGGTGTAGATGATATTGAATAAGTTGGCCTGAGAGTTCGGGGTGAAAGGCCGAAAACCCGCGCGGATAGGTGTCGAGCCTTTCGGTTAATATCGATAAAAATGATAATTTAGTAGTACTTGTATAGTCTATTTGTAGACACCGATCTAGGGATTATCAGAGTCGTATTTACCGCCCTTGAAATAAATTGTTAAATTTTGAACAATTGAAATTGCATGACATCATTGAGCATGATAGTTTTCAAAAGATACAAATGTGATTTATCTTCAAAAAGGGGCATATCATGGCATGTGCATTTCGTCTCTTAAGACTTGCATAAAATGCATATACTTTGTTAAGAATTTCCTACTGGACTTTATGCTCACTCTACGGGATTTTTGTGCAGGAAAAGATGTGGTGATGCCGCCTAACTAAAGGTGAGGAAATGTGTGTTGAGAGTACAAGACTCTCATTTTGCTGTAACTCTGTGTGTAAGCCAACGGCTGTATGTGTGTGGGTTTGAATAACCGTTTTGTGTAACCAGGCTCAAGACTTGGAAACTTGTAAACCCTTGGGGGTATTTATTTATTTGTTGTTAGATTAATGTATTGTTGCATGAATAACTATTGTGTCATGTAATGTAAGTTTGGAGATTTATATTCGGTTTTCCTTGAAAGAGCCATAATTGTTGTATTATCATTTGGGCTAGAAATTTGGGGCGTTACATTAGGCAAATAAATTTTTAATAGTAAAAAAAAATTACACTTTAGGTGACTAAAACATTTAGTAGCTAAAAAAAACAAGATGAACAAAAAAAAAAAACTTTTCGGGTACTAAATAAATTAGTCATCCTAAATAATTTTAGTTTTGGCAACTAAATGTTTTAGTCGCTGAAAATGCGATATAAAATTTTTTTGAAAGCTTTTGGCGACTAAAAGATTAGTCGCCAATTTAGTTTATCAATGACTAAAGTTTTTTTTGTCGCCAATATCTTTACTTTTGGTGACTATTGTTTAGTTGCCAATATAGGACTTTCGGTGACTAAATTTTTTTTAGTTGCCTACCTTCCCCGACTGTCTTTCCGTGACCAAGCCGGTGACCAAACTATTTAGTCGGAAAACTTTTCAGTGACTAAAATCTGACTTTTGGCGACTAAAAATTTAGTTGCCAAAAGTGCAATTTCTTGGTCATAACACTCTGTCAAGCTACTATGAACATGATATGGATGCATGAATTGTATGACTTGAGGATGCATTATCATGGCTAGCGCTTAAGAGTATGTTTGTCATCTTCTAAATAAGTGTACTTATATTTAGATAAGTATACTTATTTATGTCACATTACCTTTCTATTTTTTTTCTACATATCTTTTCGTAAAAAGTTAAAAGTACATTTATTTAGATTATCTCAAACAATCCCATACATTAATCATTTCTAATCATATTAACTGTTTCTAATCAATCTCACAACCATCCACAAAGTAAGTTGTGATATCCATCGACACCACGTTGTAGTTCAATGGAAGATATGTGTCGCTTTGAAACCACCTTAATTGACAATTTATGGCAATTATTCTTCTTTGTTAACTATACCATGTGTTGCTTTGAAATGTCTCTAATTTATTTATCCTCTAACCGCCTATAATTTTCTCATGTTATTTGACAATTTCTTACTCGTATAATTTTGTGGACCAGGAAACCAATGACGCGTAGAAGCATTGTTTTTACGCTTTTAAAGGCCAAGTATTTGATAGCCTCATGTGAAATCATATTGTGCGTACAACCAAAAACGAAAATCTCAATTTTATGATTTTTGTCAATATCCAAACGACATGAGACGATATTCTTCTTGGCATGAAGAATCACTATTGAATCTTCTTCTTCTTCAAAAACACCTGAATCTTGAATTTTGATGGGCATGATTATGATTGCACGTTATGTTCCTCAAGTAGAATTGCATAACGACATTCATCGAGGCATCCTAAGATTCTTTGGACTATGCCCTTATTCACCAAGTTATATCACGAAAAGTATTTCTCAATTCCATAGTAGCTACATGCTTTTTATTCTTCAAGTTTATTCAAAGAAAACTCTTCACAATATCAGCCACCATATCTTATGAGGGTGTCTAGTCAATTGTTATTCTATTAATTTACAAGTATTATACTATCTATATAGTAACAATGTCAATAAAAATGTATCTTGGGGAAATAACAAATCAGTTGAAGGTTGATTTTTTTTTTTCCCCAAATTAATAGTAAATTTTAATTATTAAAGTCATAAATTTTTTCATGTGTATGTAATTGTTTTTGAAAAATTGACTTGATTTATAACTTCCCCATGTATCTTTCCTTGGAATTATTATTAGAGAGATAACGAATGTACTAAAAACGCAATGCCCGCATCAATTATGTATATATATATATATATATATTCCAACTGGATTTTATATGCTAAATTTCAAAAAAAGCACATACATTTAAATACAATTTTGTGTTCAAAAAAGGGGAAATTAGTACTTTTTGTTTTGTTTTGTTTTTTAAAAACTTCTTACAGATGATAGCTGATTTTCACTCATTACGTTGATTTTACTGAGTTTAGAAAGTAAAAAGATCTTTAGAAAGTTTTTATATATGTGAACTACAAAAATTTAAAATAAGACTATAAGAGTGAGAAGTTTCCTCTCATTTGATAGCATTTATTTGAATCTATATAGTAACTTTTTGCAGTATATATGTTAATTCACACAGTTAATCCAGCATAAGGAAATCAGAAAAAAGATAGCTGTTGCATTGCAAATCAGACTTTAATTAACTGAGGTTGTAAGCCTTGATAAGGCCAGTTATTACATATGTTATTATATTATTTCATTTCATCTTAAGTTTTTCCAACTTTAAAAGCAAAAAAGAAAAGATCAACAGCACCGCCTGGTCGGTGTCTCAAAGCTTAGTTTGATGTCAAGGATAGTTCATTGGATAAGGGAATTGGTACGATGGATGAGGGTACGCGCAGGTGGGCTGGTTGATCATGGAGTTGGCCATAGGGGATGCGGAGGGTCCCGGTGGGAAATTTGGGGTCTCTGTAGCAAAGTTGTTCAGTTCATAACCATGGAAGTTGTTGTTAGGTCCTGGAGGGAAAACCAGGGTCTCCGCAGCAAAGTTGGGCAGTTCACAACCATTGAAGTTGTTGTTAGGTCCTGGTGGGAAAACCGGGGTCTTTGTAGCGAAGTTGTTGTTGTTGTGCTCGGGAACCATGCCATAGTTAGCATCATAGAGATTGGGCATCGGAACGGGCAGCTGTAGTAGTTCATTGCGCCTGTCAGGCATTGGGAGAAAGGAGGAACTGACGGTTCGGATGTCATGGATACTGGGACGGCGCCTGTCAATTGGGATGTTGCTGGTTTGCCGCCTGTAGAACTTCTGAGCGTGGCTAGCAACCTGAGTTGGGGTCTTGGTCACAACATAGTACCTTGATATGCTCCTCCAGTCTCCTTTTCCATATTTGTTTAGTCCCATGAGGAACAACCTGCAGACATGTACATACACGCCCAAAACAGACAAAAATAAAAATAAAAATTGAAACAAGAAAACAAATAATGGGCTAAATGCAACAAAGAGGAAATGCCCATAACAATGAAAAGAACCAAAATAATAATAAATCAGGGAGAGATGTTTAAGGGTCCAATCTTCATTCGAATTCACATTTAAAAAAAGATTGTGTACCCCGGGGGCGGGGGGAGAGGACAAAATAAGAGAAGAAGATCTCAACCAAAGAACTTGAATATAACTGGAAACATCATAATTAAACTCATTGAATTCAATTATAAGATTTAATGAAAGTGATGAAACTGTCGCAAGAAAACCAAGAAAACTAGAGAATAATCTGATCAAGCACCAAGATCAATCTCATCTAGCACAAAAAACCTAGCATGCAAAATTTTCCCTTTTTTTTTTTTGGGGCCAAGAGAAAGGTCCAATTTTGGAAACCAAAGCTTGCAATTCTTAACAAATTAGACTGAAAATCCACCAAGAACTGCAAACATATAAAGCTGTGAATTTCCAACCTTGTTCAATAAAGGAACAAACATTAGTACTACTCCAAACCAAACCAAAACTTTCAAAAAGGAAATTAAAGATTAATGGCTTATGAAGAGTATATATACTTGTGTTCTTCTTCAGTCCATGGAACACTTTTTCTCCTCAGATGACTGGGGCACGTCCTTCGAGCAGGTTTGGTACTCGGAGATCCTTTCTCTTGATCATTCTTGCTACTACTCTCTACATTGTTATCTCCTTCACTTCCCTCGGTGTTCACATAATTGGGTATGGGAAGAAGACCGGCCTCGATCATCTCCACGTCTTCGAGTAAGCTGTCGTAGTGCCTTTTGATCTCTTTCATGGACTTGCTGGGAAGCCTGGAAGCAACATACTCGAAGAAGGCTGGAGAGTCTGGGCCAAACTCGGCCAAAGCATTCTCAAACAACTTGTTCTCTTCAAAAGTCCATTCTTTGGAGTACTGCTGATCATCAACTTCAAATTGGGGTGTCAAAGATGACAGCAAATAAGAGTCTGACGCAGTTGGTTCATATATGTCTGACCATTCCATTTCTTGTATATCCAGGGTTACATACCAACAGAAAACGGTGTGTATAATCAGCGAGAGAGAGAGAGAGAGAGAGAGAGAGAGAGAGAGAGATCTTGTGCTAATCACTAACTAGCTAGCACACAACTGAGAGTTGTTGTGAAGCATTTCTTCTTTTTCTTGGATCTCTAGTCATTTTCCAAATTTTCAGAGTCCGTCAATTGGTTACTTATAGGATGGAAAGGTTGATGAATTTACGAAAATGGGCATGAACAAAATCAATGGATCGCGGTGTTACATCTACTTGTTATAAATAACAGAGGATCTGGCGAGATGTGTTTTTATTTAGCTGCACAAAATGAGACAATAACTTAAAACAAGAAGGAGAGAGAACCCAAAAGATTAAAGAAGAGATTTGGCCAAGAGAAAGAAAGAGAAAATGAGTAAAACAATGTTGGCAAGGCTTTGTAAAAGGAAATGATATACAAATTTATTTTTTATACTTACTTTTGAGACATAATAATATATAATTATGATAATTGGTTGATAATTAGAGAAAATAAGAAAGAGTTATTTTAAATATTCTAATAGACTGTCATATCACTGAATTTAAAAAGTAAGTTTAATTTTTAAGCCAAAGTAGCATCACCCTAGGTCAATGAAGAGTTTATTTTGTCTTCAAAAAAATATGGAAACGATTTAATGACTAATATCTATGAATTTAATATAATCAAAATTATAAATTGATTGATGAAGTACTTGAAGTTTCTATGAAATAACTCATAGAAATAGTTTTTTTTTTTAAAAAAAAAAAAAAAATTAAAAATAATTTTGTAAACCAATTTTCTTTGGATGGAACGAATAATAATTACAATGGACAATGGGTATCAAACCTCAAATAGGTATATAATTCTAATTTCCATCATCATTATTATTAACTATTCTGTTATTGTTTCTAGCGGCGCAAGTTTGATTGGGATAAGGTAACATATACCTTACCCTATTTAAACTCCATTTTAACAAGCGTTTCGTTTATTGGACTACAACCTTTTATAATTTTTAATATATATATGTATGTGTCGAGATTATGTTTTTTGAGAAATCATCTTATTTATCTATTGAGTGAGATGCTTACAAAATAAAATGAAAGAAAAAGAGAGAAAAACACAAATCCATAGTAATTGACAGAGAAGGAAGCATGTAAGAAAAATACAAATAAAGACAGAATTTTTTGGAGAGGCCATGCAAACCAAATCAAACCAAAACCACCTTGCTGCAACAATACGCAACTACCTTGAAAATTTAATGTAATTTTCCTGTTTTTGAGTGACATTTAATTTTTACATCACATGAACACGTGTGTTTCACTTCTGTAGCCAAATGTGAGGCATAAAATTGTAATTGTGAAAGTATTGAGCAAAGTCAACTTTGGTGATGCTGGTTGGTTTTCTCTGTATAATCTCCTCCTGGAAGATCTCTACCTTTGTCCTGGTTGTGCAAGAAAATTTTAAAACTTATCATTTCTTACAACCTAAGTAAAGAATTTTAGAGTTTGCAAGAGCAAACATTAGAAGGGTATACATGGACATGAAATTAATGAACATATTCATCTTGAGGTGATTTATGTGTTAAGTTTTTAGGTAGGTGCACCATATTTCAAACTCGCACAAAATACATAATAACGAATTATCTATTTAAAAAAAAAAGCATATAACGGAACAATTTGACAATATATTTGAACGCATTAAAGCCTGATTCGTATCATTATGCCAAGTGTTTTGTTATAGCCAAGCTTACTGCTAGCCTATCCGCTAGAGCTGAGCTTCGACAATGCTTTTGGCCCCATTATTCCGTCACTTGAGATTCAAGTCAACAAGGGTTTGCATGAGCAAAGATGAAATGGGATGTTTTTTCCGTTTAGACACCAAAAGAGTGAAACCTATAACCCTACATGTTATGTAATTTTAATTACTAAAGAAAATAAATTATTTAGCTTCACTCCATTTTATTTATTTATTTTTTATGATAAGTGAAAGAAAAGTTTTATTGATGTAAAACAAGTTAATACCATTTTTAAACCGATAACATAGTTAAAATAGAAGTACACTAAATTTACATAAATAAAAGGAGGCCAAGGAAGAGAGCATCCGAGGCCCACATCAAAAACACGAACTGTCGACAAGAGATCAACAACTCTACCCCTCTTAACAACCACATTTCCAACCCTCACTTTCCATATTTGACACGAAGTGGAATGTTATGTGATTATGAATTCTCTATCGTCTTTTTTGTTGTGCCGAATCACTTGTGTATTATGCAATATCATTTGTGTATAATCCGATGAGTCTTTTTAGTTTCATTGTATATATTGTAGAGAGACAAAATTTGGGACAAAAAGAACGGAGAGAAAGGTACATGTACATATTGCAATATATATTACATGTAATAATCTATTATGTTGACAATAAGATGCACACTACTTAATGGTGAAAAAAAAAAAAAGGGAAAGTGAAAAAAGAAAACAAAAACAAAATCTACTTCATTAACTTTTCTTTTCCTTTTTCTTTACCTCTATAAACCTCTTCACAAATTTAAGACAGTAGATATGCACTTTGTATTGACAAATTAAATACAATGTATCAAGAGTCACTACAACAAAAAGCACCAATGGCGACTAAAAAAATGAATTTCGTCGCTGAAAGTTGCACAAATGGCGACTAAATCCATTTTAGTCGCCAAAAATGAAGACTTTTGGCGACTAAAACCATTTAGTAGCCAAATGTATATGTATTGGCGACTAAAAATCAGTTTGGTCGCCTATTATATGGGTTTCAGCGACTAACACAATTTTCGTCGCCAAAAGTGATGGTTTTTGCCGACTAAAACAATTTAGTAGCCAAAGGTGTTGGTTTTAGCGACTAAAAAACAGGTTAGTCGCTGAATGTGCAGGTTTTTGGCTACAAAAAAAAATTAGTAGCTAAAAACTGACAATTGCCGACTAAAACAGGTTTAGTAGCCAAAAAGTGACATTTTTGGCGACTAAAAACAGATTTAGTCGCCAAAACTGCTTTATTTTTAAATGGAACTTAATTTTTTAGCGACAAAAAATAATTAGTAGCCGATAATTATAGCATTGGCGACTAAAAATTGATTTTAGTCGCCAAAAGTGGCCCAAATTTTTTTTAATAAATCATTTATTTTTTACATAAATTATATTTGAATAAAAATAATTATATTTATAAATATTGTTTTGTATTAATATCGGACAATATACTATATAAATAATATATATTTCATATATATTTATGTGATGTGTAGTGGCATAGTGGAGGGAGTGTGTTGTTAAAGGTTTGGAATGTTGGACGACTGCGGTTCGAAACTCAGAAACAGCAAGAAAATGGGATTTTTTTTTTTTTTGACGGAAACACCTTCGGCGACTAAAAAGTTAGTCGCCAAAAGTCTTTATTTTGGCGACTAAACGGTTTAGTCGGCGTTTGATTGAGTATTGGCGACTAAATTATTAGCCGGTAAATGTATGATTTTCAAAAGTGTAAAACACTATTGGCGACTAAATTATTGGTCGCTAAAAGGGCTCCTTTTTGCCGACTAAAACAGGTTTAGTCGCCAATACCTCCCGCGACCATTTATTGGTGACAAAGGCAGCGACTAAAAGTTTTAGTCGGGGAAACCCAAAACTTGATTTTTAGCGACAAAAAATTTAGTCGCCAAAGGTGATTTTTCTTGTAGTGAGTGAATTAGGCTTCGAATTCAGAACCTTAAACAATAAAAATTAATGATTCATATAGCTGATGTTACTTGATTAGAAATTAAGACTTAGTTTGTTTTGGTTGAATTTATTGAGGCTTACGTTTCCTTCCTGATAGCAATGGTTGGTCATCCAAAAATAGCCTTAGAAAAAAACAACGTTAAATTAGTACACATTAATATATGTTCCAAATTAGTACATATTAATGTGTGTTTGGGATGAAAGATTGAGTACACACCTAACTTTTAGCATAATGTACAAAATGATGGCCTCAAGATTTGAATTCATAACCTTAAAGTTATTAGGTTAACTCTTAATCATTAAACCAATAGTTGCCCTTAAGTAGTCTTGGCACTTCCATAATACTTAACTTCAAGTCTCCAACAATATCCAATTTTCACACACAAAGTCTATAATGATTCGACTCAACAGTTTTGCAGTAGAAAATGAACGCCACTTAAAACACAAAATGCAGTACAGAAAAATAAAGATAAATATGTAAAAAAGCACACTGAATTTGCATATTATTAATTCATGCTTATGAGCTCTGGTATGGATGAAATGGGATCCCGGTAGATGACTGGCCAGAGGTGGAAGTGTCACGATCACCGGGCTTTGATGAACGGGAAGACAAAGCCATGGTTGAATTGGCATTTTGCTGGGCAACATTAGATTTCTGGAGGCGGATGTAATACTTTTGGGCATGGCTAGCAACTTGGGTCGGGTTCCTAGTCTGTACACAATGTCTGGAAATACTCCTCCAGTCACCCTTGCCGAACCTCGCCAATCCAATTAGAAAGTTCCTGTTTAGATTGAGGAAAATCAAATCATAGAAAGAATCAAGAAAGTTCATAATCATATATAACAATAACATATTAATTATTGCAAAATAAACTAAATTCAAGTGTAATAAGGAAATAAATGAAATGTAATAAGGGTCAGTCTTCTGGTGTTGGGCCCGTGAGGGCTCATCACGGGTTAGATCTCGATAACTCAAACTATTTAATGTGTAGAACTTGTCTAATTTAGTTGGTCACCATGCTTTCCTTAGGGCTTAGTCCCAAGGAGGTTATAGGTTTAATTCTCATTGGGAGGGATTGAATTAAGGGAGTGGAAGCACTTAAGTGTTTTGTCAAGGGTGGAGAAATTTTCTTCCATAAGTGTTAATTTAACAACGAACAACTAACATTAACCGATCAAAAAAAAAAAAAAAAATTGAATATCGATAGTCACTTGATCGAATCATATTTCTGTCAATGGTAAATATGATTTTTAAAAAAAAATTTGTTGACAAAAATCTGATCTGATTAATTAACTATTGATATTCAATCAGTATAATTTTTTACAAAAATAAAATATTATTTCACACGTTAAATAATTTAAATTATCAAAACAAGATTCATCATCTAATAGACCCGAACAACCACTGGACCGTAGAGAATCTGATTGGATGTAATAGAGAAAAGTTAGGGATCATGAAAAAAACTTTTATGAAAATAATCATGAAAGATTTTTGACTTTTAGATTAGCTTGATTAATGTGTCGTGTTTTGTTTTAAGTGTAATCCAAGGGTCAAAAATTTTTCATAATTATTTTCATGAAATTTTTTTCATGATACCTAACATTACTCGATGTAATAATACCACTTATGTTAGGTTCACAAAAAATTAATGGAACAGAAATATTTTTTAGAGAGCGATGTGAAGAGGGTGGACCCACATCTTTCTATCCCCACAACTTTCTATACCGAAGTTTTCAATTTTTATTTTTATTTTTTTTTGGTAACAATAGCTAGTAGGAGGACTTCTTCCTAATCAATCAATGAAGCAAAGGTTAGGACTTGCATATCAAGTTTTGGTTAAATCTATGCATTTAAAGTTCAGGAAATTATCAATTAAAGCCAAAAATCACTCAACAATTTATTTTCAGAACACTCAAACTCCTCCGCAGTGAGTAAAAATAGCAATTTTTTCTTTCTTTCAAAAGAAAAACAAAAAATGACCATCATTATCGATTTACTTTTGCATAAAAAATAAAGGCATGATTTATATTGTATTGAGATTTTACTCTTTCTTATCTCCTGTTTCTTATATAATTTTTTCTCTAAGAATAGAATAGGTGTTAATTAACAGGCTCATGGAAATTTTTTAGAAGTTTATCAATCGACAAAGTAATGCTACATATCTAGAATTTCTATTTAAAATTTAATGAGAAAAATTGATTTGTGCTTTAGATTCATTAGAAATGTACCACCATAAAAAATTTAATTTGGATACATTACTTTTCTTTTCTTTTTTTATCAGCAAAGAACTTTATTGTTGCCGAAAACATATAATTACATATGAGATGAACATCAATAATTACTTTTCTAGGTACATAACCTTATGCATTCATGAATTATGAAAAAATAAAATTTTAAATTACGAACTCTAGCTATTAATTTTATTAGCTATTGTATTAAAATCATAGATGGCCCTTGTTACGGAAGACATAGGTCATTTCATTGCATTAAGCCTGATTTCATGGAATAAGATGCAAATTTAAATTTTAATGCCAAGGGAATTCAAGGCAAGATCAAATCAAATTGTGAAATTAAAAAAACAAAACAAATGACATATAAATGGCAAAATATATGAAGGTTGGAGAAACAAACCCATGTTCTTCCTTAGTCCAAGGACCGCCTTTCCTCCTTTGTTGATAATTAAAGTTGTTTTGTACTGTAAGGGTTGATCCATTCCCATCATTCTTAATTATTTCATAATCAGGTAATGGAACAAAACCTGATTCAATCATCTCAACATCTTCAACTAGTGATTCGTAGTGCTCTTTGATTTGATCAACTGTTTTTCCGAGAATCCTGGAAGCAATCTTCTCAAATAAGTCCATAGAATTAAGGTCGAACTCAGCAAGAGTGTTCTCAAACAACTTGTTCTCTTCAAAAGTCCACTCGGTATGCATTGGTGGAGGTGGTGAAGAGATAAAGAACCATGATAGTTCATCAAGGTTGTCGACAAGATGTGGTATCTCCATTTTTTGCTGATCAAAGGATTTGGAATAGAGTTAAAATGGAGTAGAATGTTGCAACAAGGGAATTATATATAGATAAATTGATGCATACGCACAAACATAAATACTTTAGTTAATGGAGATTAATGGTTTCTCATATATGTGAGGAGCGGGGGTGAGATTTTGCTAGCTTGCTTAGTTGTAAGTTGATAAACCTTCCCTAGTGGTGGTTTATTAAAAATAAAATCCATTCCATACAAAGAAAACTATTGAAGTAGTTTCCTTTCTTTATTTTTCTCATTTTTTTTTCTTTTTTTGTCTATGATAAACTTGCATCTTATTTCACTAATTAATGAGGTCCATGTATTCTTGCATGGTGCATGGTAAAGGAAGGAAGACTTGCTTAGTTGTATGTATTTTTAGAATTTTTTAAAATGATTTATTATTTCTTACTCTTTTGTCCAAAATATTATATGCTAATAATACTAAGGAAAATGAGTGAGAGGACTAATTAGTGCTATCACTAATGATGTGGCAGTGGGCCCCACCAGGAATGATTTGATGTTTTGGCTTTGGTGTTGTATTTTTTTTCTTTTTTTATTGAGTGTCATGTCATTAGTGGTCTTTTTAGAGTTCCAAAATTAGTGGTCACTATCATTGTTGTAATACTAAATGCATGGCTCTAAGTAAAATCTTTTTTCCAGGTAGAGATTATATGACCATAATTTCATTTTATGCTTTATTGTCATAACCATGATTAATTTGGAAGTTGTATCATTAGCTTTCAAGTATAACATAATGCTTATGTCACCTACCGAAAAATAATAAAATATCCTCACATTTGTTAAATGGAAATGTTTAGAAAATTAATTTCTAACTGACAAATAGAGGTTGCTTTAACAATTTCATTTTATGCTTTATTGTCATAACCATGATTAATTTGGAAGTTGTATCATATTTCATTTTATGCTTTATTGTCATAACCATGATTAATTTGGAAGTTGTATCATTAGCTTTCAAGTATAACATAATGCTTATGTCACCTACCGAAAAATAATAAAATATCCTCACATTTGTTAAATGGAAATGTTTAGAAAATTAATTTCTAACTGACAAATTCTTTTTCCCTACTAATTAACTAAATTGTGCAAGATTTATTTACTACTATTGTATTTGTGTTTGTTCAATAAAGTTTCTCAATGCATCTTCTTATACATATATTTGCTTCAAAGTATTTTTAAAAAATAATAATAATAACCAGATTCAAAACATTTAACATTGTCTTTTAAGCTCTAAATGGATGGACATAATCCCATGAAATAATAAAGCAAATTGAAAGTAGTAAGTCATCTCACTTGCCTAAAATACGTTATCATAGTTCCTGAAAGTAATATAATAAGTATTTTGGAAATAAAATATCATTACATGCAAAAGTACAATGCAAATTGTCAAACACAAAAGTAGGAAACATGTTTTGTCTTGTCACTCTTAATTTCGATAGAAAATCTAACTATTAGTGCTCGAAAAACAAAGAAGGAATTTTCTAAAGGAATTTGTTATTCATTTAAAATATAAAACGTGTGTTCCACATCATAATCTCAATAAATATTGGCATTTATAAGCATAAAAAGATTATTTTTGTCGCGATACATAGTTCACTTAGAGTCCGTTGAAGGAGCTGTTATGGACATTTTTTTTTAGCGTGACACGTTCAACAATGATTGAGTTTAGGAAAAAGACAAATGTTTAATTGAATATCACACTAATACGACAATAGTGATGCTAAAAAAGAAAATAAAATAAAAAGGAGAACATGATAGAAAAAAAATTATCTCACGTGCAAAATTTCCAGTAACCAACTTATTTTACCATCCATTTTGATCATTAAAATAAAACACGTGTTTAATTACTATATTTTGGTTACACAAAAGTTTAATTAGTGATGTTAATATACAAACCAATATTCATGCTTTAAATTGTTGGAGAAACATATGTAATGTGAAGACTCGTAATGAAAAAAAAGAAAAAAGAAAAAGGAGCACACTGCTGGAAAAAGGGGATATGGTGACGTTTTTCTAACTACGTTTTTTTAAACGTCACTATTGTTAATATTTAACGGCGTTTTATAAACGCCGCATATTCTTTTAACCAAAACGGCACCGTTTTATAATAGGAGGCGTTTAAAACGCCTCCGAATGCGGTAGCCACACACGCCTTTTCAAACCTTATTTTGTATCTGGGCCCTCTCTCAACCCTTATACGCATACATCATTTTGAATCTGAGCCCTCTCTCTCTCTCAATCTCTCTCTCTCAATCCTCGCTAAGCTCCATCGAAGATTCAGATCGAACCTCCATCGAAGATTCAGATCGAAGCTCCATCGAAGTGATTTCGAAGCTCCATCGAAGATTCAGATCTAAGCTCCATCGAAGATTCAGATAGAGATTCAGAGATTCAGTGATTTTCAGAAGCTTAGATCTGAACTCTGACCCCTCAATTACTCACATTTCAACCTCAAATCGGTACTCTCTCTCTCTCTCTCTCTCTCTCTCTCTCTATCTCTACTTGAAGCTACGTAAATAGAAAGTTTCATTTTCAAGATTTCATAGAAATCATCTACATGAAGCAAATATAAACATTATGGAAAATTTAGAGTTATATTTTATGCTAATCTTCTAATCTGTTGCATTTTGCTAATCTGGTGCCTCTGTATCTGTGTGCTGCTCTGGTGTACCTGTGCTCTGTTTTGCTGTATATGTGTTCTAGTATGCTGTTACATTGGTGTATCTACTGTTACATTAGTGCTTCTCTAGCACAACTGTCTTGTTAGCTGCTGTTTTTCGCTATTTTATTTTTGTGTTTGGTTGGTGAGAAAAAGTAGGAAAGTGAAAGAAAGTGAAAGGAAAACTGCGAATTGGGAATTGTGTTGATTGTTATGTATATGGAATGTTTTTTTTTTGATACTCTGATTGTTTTCTTCAAATTGGACTTTAGAGTTTTTTTTGTACAAAAATTATATCAGTATAGTATTGCTCAATATGTAATGATATGCATTTGTGTGTATGTGTACTTATACAACCTCATATATAGTTAGAGTACAACATATTAAAATGAACATTGAAAAAAAATGAACGTGAACGTCAACATTAATATTGTTTGACTTGTGCGTTAAACATTCTAATAATTTTCAAATGTTAAAAGGAATAAAATCAAATAGCAGAGAGGACTTAGTGTGAGAAGTATATATATATATATATATCTTTTACATTGTTAGTTAGTTTTTGACTACTTCAATGGAATAAAAAAAATGCGATTATATCATAACTAGGATATTTTTAAATTTAAAATTGATTTCATGAACATAAATGACAAGTAAAAAAATGGGATTAGGCAAAAACATGTTTATCAACATGTATTGTACCGCGTATATCGATTGAAAAAAAAACGATGTATACAAAATTAATAAGAGTTGAAACTACAAAGAAAATCACCAAATGACTATCAAATCACCAAAAGAAAACCTGCGAAATTTCCACCTTATAACTACCAAATTTATATAACAAGAAATATAGTATATATTTTATACTCCTAAACATACTAAAAATAATTAATTTAGTTAAGTTGATTAAATTTTATCAATTTTACAATCAAAATTAATGTTTAAAATGTCATTAGTAATTTCTATATTCTTATTCTTACATATAAAAATAATATAAATAAATAAATATATAACGGTTCGGTTCAGTTTAGAGCTATAATCAAAACTTTAGAATTAGAAATCAAATTGATTTGAACAGTTCAACAATTTTCAAAATTGAAACTAGAATAAAGTTAATAAAAATCAGACAACATCAACAATTTACTACTAGATTTTTGAGATTGGCATGTCAAGGCAATAAAATATAATTGTTACATTGGGATTTCTTGGGTTTGAGTTTGAGCTATATGTGGTGTTTACTGCTTGGTATGTGGGGTTTGCCCATGTGATGGCTGGACGACCACCACCCAAGTTGTTCTTCATCGACAAAGAAATTAATGAAAGTAAAAGGTGAGGAAGAAATAATGAAGAAAAGGATGAGAAACTTCTCAAGGGTGTCAACAAGAGAAACAAAATAAATACATAAAATATTATAAGAATGATGTCATAGTGCTTCAGACCTAAAACCTAATTTTGCATAATTTTAGCTTTGATCTTGGTGTTTAGGTCCAACTCCTATTGTATTTGTTTGAACCATCATTCAACTACATCAAACTCTTTGGTATACAAAACAATGGTATTCCTTTGGTATATAAAATTAAAGAAGAAATGAATTTTATCTAGAGGAACCAATATTTATACTAGAACAACAAAGGTAATCATATTTTGTAGGTACCTATAGTTATTAACGTGGATAACTATCATAATATATCAAGAGCATTGAAGAAACTTTTGGTGTTTTCTGAATCATCATCATCATCATCAGAAGTATTTGAGCTTTGGTACACTTATTGGTTTGGGTAGTGGGTTTGAACTTTCCACATCCATGAGTTCCTGCCAAAATTATTCTATTATTGATTGATTTGAGAGAGCAATGTATTTCTTGTTTGATTGATTTGAGTGATTCATCATCATCAGAAGTATTCGAGCTTTGGTACACTTGTTGGTCTTTATTGATTGATTTGAGAGAGCAATGTATTTCTTAAATCTATCATAATCTATCAAGAGCATTGTAGAAACTTTTGGTTTCTTCATTAATATGCTTCATATTAGATATGCTTCTAGTTTGCTTGATAGTACTAATTTAGATTGTACCACCGGGATGCAATCATTAATGGTGCATGCATGCATAAATAGCCTTAGACCCGTCCAAGAATCTTCATTAGAGATACCTAGTCATCTTTGATGAAACTCTTCTTGGATTGTCTAGTTTGGACAGTTCAGGAGCACAAGTCTATATTGTAATTAGTAGTTCTACTGCTTATAGTCCATCTCGTAGAGATTTCGTGTAGCAACTCCTTGTGTTCTCCGAGTGCATACTAGACAAG